ACATTTGATACGTCTGCTACAGTCTACTTCGTAGAATGGTTGTGAGGCTTGATAGAGATTTTACAGGTGTGAAGTTTCAGTACATTACGATGTACAGACAAGCATTTTTGAACGTTAACCATCGGTTAATAGTGATATAGTTAAATGTCTTGCTTCATTTAGTTTTCTCAGCGATGCTTGTCGGTGGAGGATATGCTCATTTCACAGACTAGGACACTGAGGCCTACAGGGGTTCAGCAGCTTGTCTAAAGTCTAATAAACAGAAGAACGCATCTGTCTATTGTGGTTTTCCTACTGCACCAGGTTTTCCTTGTGAAAGAGCAAGTACTCTCTCTGGAGAGAGGAAATGTTGGATGAGTAATTATTAGGAATAGGAGTTAAAGGAACACACTCCTCAATGTTCCCATAGCCTCTGTTCCTTATTCTGTGACCTCCATTAGGACTCTCAATTTCCAAGGGCTTAGTCTAGAAAATTACATTAGTAGGCAGCTTCCCAGGAGTTCTTCTAGAACAATACAGCCCTTCTACCACCACTTCCAAAATCATTATGGAATCCTCAAGAAGTAGTCCGAGTTGCCCACACTAACAAGGCTCTGAGTGAGAAAGCACCACGCTCCTGAGGATTCATTATGAAACTGAGTTTGAAGATAGCTTCTCCCTCTTGCCTCCCTTCTGGGGGCTCTTCCTCATCCCCAGATCCAAGGAAGAGCTGAGAGTTAGCTTGTCTTTGCTCAAAGGCCCTGCTTGGGTTAATATCTGAGAAAGAAAATATCTCTCTTAGGAAAACGATATCTGTTTCCAACTGCACCTCTAGCTTCCTGGGTGACTTTGGGGATATGAAAAAGTCCTCTGGGCCTCAGTGATCCTGCCATTAAGTGGAGCTTACATCATCTGCCCCAACTATCTTCTCATACAGCTAGCCAATTTGAGAGAGTCTAAAGTACCAGAAAGTGTGAGACATCATTACCATATTGATGAAGGGCTTGAGTTGTTTACTTTTCCTTTTCCTTGTTTCTCTCCTCATCCTTCTCCTGTTTACTGGGAGGCTAATTTCTGATGCCCCTAGGGGATAACACTGTAGTGAAGATAGCCCTATGATAAAGAAGGTAGCAGCATATTTTTCCCTCATTTTCTTAAATATAGCCCCTTACTTTTTTTCTGGGTTGATAACTGAGTCTAAATTGCTCCTCACTTTCTTGCCTGAAGAAATCTCACTGACTTCTATGGCCATTCCAGGGTAAGTATGCTCAATGGGCTCTTCTTCTGTCTTACAAATCAGAGAAGGAGCCTCCATTGCCATCAGTTCGAACCTGACTTTATACATTGTGCAACTGATGCTTCTGAAGAGAAAAACTATTTATAGGAAGAGCTGGGACTACAACCAGGAGGTCCTGACTTCTTTTCTAGTCCTCTTTGCCAAAGTCCCTCCATCTTGAATGAAGTGTGCTCTCTGTTACTCTTAGAGGCGAGTATGAGGTGATTCACTGTGTCCAGCTCCTGCGCAGGACCCAGTCCACCAGGCAGCGTAGAACTTTGGGGTTGAGACTGTTGAGCCTTGTTGATACTTTTCAACATCTGGATCATGAAGTGATTGGCTGGGGTTCCAGACTGGGAGCCATCACAGCTCAGTAAGGAGAGCCAGGGACTCACTTCCAACCCCTGAGAGTGCTAATGCAGGAGGGGCTGCTCCAGGAAGGACAACTGAGTGTCTCTAGATGACCAGAGTTCATCCCAGAATTCCACTGATTTTAAGCAAGATGCATCTCCAGCCATGTGAGGGTTTGGCAACAGCATTTCACTGCTCTTCTGTCCCTGATTATGGCTTCCTTGTCTGTAGAATGTCTCTCTCCTGATGGCCTTCTTCTTTTGACCATTTTACATGAAAAGAAACGTGTATCTGGATTACTACATTAGCTGCTTGTTACCATCAAAAACAAAGGAAATAATTTGTTCCTGCAGCAACCTTGCACCCTGAACTTGCCCCTACAGTTCCCCTAAATGATACTAATCCATAAAAATCCATCCCAAATTCTAATATGTCCAGAAACTCTTTCATGACAGCTCCAACTAACACACTGATACACTCTTTCTCTGAAATCGTATAGACACGTAACCATCCACTTATTTATCTAAGACATACTGAGTACCTACTATGTGCAAAGTACAGTGTTATAAGTACTACAATTGAAAATCTAAATGAAAGACTTATCCCTCAAGTCACTTACAGTGAAATAGAGGAGACAGTCTCTATAATAAATGACTGTCAGAAGGTAATCATAATAAGTTCCATGAAATAACGTGTAGTGGAAGTTTGCTAGGAGAGACAGAGATCATTTTGAGATGGGGAAGTTTCAAAGAAGAGCTAATTCAGCAGCTAGCATTTGAGTCAAGTTTTGAAATATTTCGGCATGTGGAGTTGGAGAAAAGAAAAAACAGGTAGGGAAAACTCTTGCATAAACAAGCAGGTGGAAATCACTGTGTTGCACTATAACCCGGGCTGGTGTTAAAATGAACCCAAGAAGGAAAATGGGATGTAGTTAATTGTTCTTTAATATGAAGTGTGCAAAGAACTGTTATCCACTCATTGTTACGTCAATTTGCAAAGCACTTATCAATTGGCAATTTCATCAGTGAGAATTAGGCCTAAGGACAATGTCCAACAACGTCCCCAAAATCATGTGACCTTAGAATTTTTAGCATTTGGCTAGCAGCCAAGCTCTTAAGCCCTAGGCCAGGAAATGGAGTGTGGTTGACAGGAAGTAAAACTGTGTGGGGCAGCTGCTGACTACACTCACAACACACCCACCTCTCTTCCATGGACACAGCTGCAGCAGTTTGTAAGGCAAGGGACTCTGAGATTTGCAAGGACATAACCATGGAGAGTGGGACTATTTCAGCCATTCATTAAATTGTGCATTTATTAATAGTTATAAAATAATATGAATTATTTGGAAAATTTAAAAAATCCAGTGGAAAAACTCAAAAATACTGTATTACTACAAAAAAACCCCAAATCTGCCTGTTGCATCAAGTTGATTACGACTCATAGAGGCCCTGTAGGATAGAACTGCTCCATAGGGTTTCCAACAAGCGCCTGGTGGATCCCAACTGCCAACCTTTTGGTTAGCAGCCGAACTATTACTACCATTCTTTGAAAATTACTAGTAATATTTTGGCATTTCCTTCTACTTATTGAAGCCTTGGTGGCGCAGTGGTTAAGAGATTGGCTGCTAATCAAAAAGTCAGCAAGTTCCAATCCACCAGCGGCTCCTTGGAAACCTTATGGGGCAGCTGTACTCTGTCCTATAGGGTTGCTATGAGTCGGAATCAACTAGACCGCAATGGGTTTTGTTTTGTTTTTGTTTTTTAAATAATGCGTGTGTGGAGTGTGTGTGTGTGTGTGTGTGTTTTAACACTGAGATCAAATTTTATATACAGTTTTGCATCCTCTTTTACCTAATTAACATCTTGTAAGAATTTTCTTGCTTTTTGAAGTTGTTTTTGTTAATGTGTAATTTTTTAATTTTTATTTTCTAGTTTATTACAGTTAATATATAAGAAACCATGTATCATTGTATATTTACTTTTTATCTTGCAATTTTCCTATACTTTCATATTTTAAGGAATTTCAGTCATTTACTGTGTAAATCATTGTCATATTTCCATATATATTAGTCATACTTCTACAGCATCTCTGATCTTTGGGACCTCCTTAACCACTCCTGCCCCTGAATTTCAACACCTCAGCTCAGGGCCTCATTACCCTATTCTTTCTGTTAGAGTTACCTAACTGAACTACTGCTTTCCATCCTATTCTATGCAAAGGAATACCACTGATCATTAAAAAAAAAAAAAATTCTAACTCTGCTTATTCCATAAGCAGTAGAGGGACATTGGTATTTTTTGACCTGGAGCTTGATATAAAATCTGAAAGGCTTAGTCCAGTCTGGTTCTCTAAGTACATGCTTGCTTCAGCTGAGGGCCTCTCCTTAGAGCCATCGGTCCATCCACCATGCCTGAGTCAAGGGAAAGTGGAAGTCCGTCCCATTGCTGTTGATTCCAATTCATAGTGACCCTGTAGGACAGAGGAAAACTGCCCCATAGGGCTTCCAAGGCTGTAATCTTTACAGAAGCCGACTGCCACTTATTTCTCTCTCGGAGCAGTTGATGGGTTAGAACTGCTGACTTTTAGGTTAGCAGCTCAGCACTTTTAACCACTGCGCCACCAGGGCTCCTAAGTCGAAGGCCAGTGGCTGTGAAATGCAGAAATCCAACTGTACCTAGCAGCAACCAACCCACAAGTTGTGGCTATAGCTCTTATTTTAGAGAGTGGCAGACAATATAAACAGAATAAATAATTTGAAAGGTAAATTGTTATTCAAAGCCCAGTGGAAGGACTGGGTAAACACAAGAATACTAGCAATTTATGGTAGAGAGATTTTTAATGTACACTTCACAGAGTCTGTCCCTCACCTCAGAGAAATGTACTTGGCTGGTCCTCCTAATATCTAGAATACTGGGTGTCTTCCCTCAGATTCTTGTCATACCTTCATTTAATCTTCACTATTTTTTGAACCCTTGAAATCTAGTTTATGTTTTCAAATGCTTTCTAGTTTCTTTGGAAATATAACTGATTTTTCTGTTTTGAAATCTGCTTATTGGTTTGGGATGATCCCTCAGGAAAAAAATGGGGAAATTCCATCTAGACCTTGCTATATTCAAAGAGGAGGACTGCTTTTCTCTTAATTTATTTTCCCAAGAATTCTGTCAATTTCAGATATGACAGGCTGGAAGGGACAAGGTAATGGTGACCCTGGACATTTCAGCTGGGAGCAGAGATAAAAGATTAAGGCGATGCAGGAGGTGTGGTCTGGAAAGTGGGAAAATGTCCACCTGGGCAGCTGGAACTTACCATGGGGCTTTGCACATACAGGGTTTAAAATATTTATGCTGAATAAATAAACTGAGTGAACTGATATCTCCCCTGTTGGGACATTTCTTTACAGGGACTCATGGAGTCAGAAGCTGGGACCAACAGGACAGCTCTTACTGAGTTCATCCTCCTGGGCCTAGTGGAATAAGAAAAGCTGCAATCTCTGGTCTTTGTACTCTTCCTCTTTGCCTACATGGTCACAGTCAAGGGCAACCTCAGCGTCCTGGCAGCCATCTTGGTGGAGCCCAAACTCCACACCCCCATGTACTTCTTCCTGGGAAACCTGTCAGTGCTGGATGTTGGGTGCATCACTGTCACTGTTCCTCCAATGTTGGGTCATCTCCTGTCCCACAAGCGTACAATTTCCTATGATGCCTGCCTCTCACAGCTCTTCTTCTTCCACCTTCTGGGTGGGACGGACTGCTTCCTCTTGACAGCTATGGCCTATGACTGCTTCTTAGCCATCTGCCAGCCCCTCACCTACAGCATCCGCATGAGCCAGGAAGTCCAGAGGCTATTGGGGGCTGTATCTTGGGCTTGTGCCTTCACCAATGCACTGACCCACACAACTGCCCTATCTACTCTCAACTTCTGTGGTCCCAATGAGGTCAATCACTTCTACTGTGACGTACCACAGCTCTTCCAGCTTTCCTGCTCTAGCACCCAACTCAATGAGCTGCTGCTCTTTGCTGTGGGTTTCATAATGGCAGGTACCCCCGTGGTTCTCATCGTCACCTCTTACATCCACATGGCAGCTGCAGTTCTATAAATCAGTTCAGTAGAGGGCAGGAAGAAGGCTTTCTCCACATGTGGTTCCCACCTCACTGTAGTTTGCCTTTTCTATGGGACAGGTATCTTCAACTACATGAGACCAGGTTCAAAGGAGGCTTCAGACAAGGATAAAGGGGTTGGGGTTTTCAGTACTGTCATTAACCCCATGCTGAACCCACTCATCTACAGCCTCAGAAACCCTGATGTTCAGGGTGCTCTATGGCAAGTACTTGTGGGAAGATGATCCCTGACCTGAGAGGTGATAGGGTTCCTCCTCTAACGCTTTTTTTGGACTAGAAAACCAAGATAACCTGTCCATAGACATTTTTTTTTTCCTTGTATTCTGGTTGCTGAAGGTTTGTGTTAAGTGCTTGTCCTACAAGGAAACTCTACCTAGTACATTCATTTATCCTTTCAATAAACATGTACTGAATTACTTCTATGACCCAGACACTCTTTTAGGGCACTGGCTATAGAGGAGTGAGCAAAATACACAAAAGTCTCTGCATTCATGTGGCTTACTTTCTAATAAAGTGAAACAAAATAAATGCAACAAGTATCATCATATATAGCATATCACATGGTAATAAGAGAAAAACAATAAGAGAGGGATATGTAGTTAGGTTCTGCTAAGCCAGCCTCCTGGTCATGTTGTTACCTTGTTTTTGCTGTGCTCACTTTCTGGGTAAACCTCAAGATGAGGAAACACTAGGTTGGAGATATACTGACCTACTGACAAGGGACAGTTAGAGGCATCAATCCCAGGGATGAAATTTATGGATACGCAATTTCTGAAATTCTTTTCTTTTGCTAGATGAGTTTAACCCATTCAATTTTATTGTTATAAGTAAATTTGACCCTAATTTTTTTATGTTATGCATTTTGCTTTCACTGCTTTAAAAACTGTTTCATTAGAAGGTCTCTATTTGTTTTATTTTGTTTTGTATGTGTTTTCTCTAATTTGGAAGACTTGTTCTAGGGTTACCTGTGTAACGATAACTTTCTATATAGTCCCCAAACTCTATGTTTTTAGACAATGTCTATTGACTCCCTAGTATAAGCAATGATAAAATTAATCTATTTCTTTTTATCCCCGTTTCTCTTTCTGCTTTACCACGAAATTTGTTTGATTATATTTTCTTAATCTTTTCCTTTATAATGACTTGTGTACTTATACCTCTGTTACATAATTTATCAGCTTTAATTGATATTTTTAACACTAAGTTATAAAAGATGAGGAAATCAGCACATTTATATTTCTTCTCACTCTTTCTCTCCCACCACCTTCCACTTTCCACTTTCTGTAATTATAGCCATTTTATCTTGTCAGATTTTAAGTACATTTATATTTTATTCTATACCTATAATTTTCACAAATATTTTAGTCTTAGTGTTATAGTTAAACACACTTAAACGTAACCATCAGTTCATACACTGTAGTTTCCCCATTTTCCTCTTTGTTGGTTGACATCTGTTAGCTACTCTTATTTTCTAAAATGGCTAATGTTAACTATATTCCTTGAATTATTGCATTGCATAATTGCCTTTATACCTACAATCATCTGGATAATTATAACATTCTTGCATTACATTTTCTTTCCTTGGATGCACTGCAGGTTTGTTTGTTTTTTTCCATTATATTCTATTTTTAAACATGCCTTTGGAGAGCTAAGAAGCCAGATTAATTTACTTCCTATATAGTTGATATGATCTTTTTTTACCTGGCTACCTGTTCTTTTTTTAAATCACCAATATTTAGCAATATTATAATGGTATCGATCAAGTCTGTATCAATTTTTCCTGGCATAAAGTGTGTCTTTTCAATCTGTAAATTCAGGTACTCTATTGTTTCTAGAAATTTTTTGTTAAATTTTATGTTCAAATAATTGTTCTTTTCCATTATTTTGCTTTCCTTTTGGAGGGGGGGGGGACGCCAATACTACAGATGTTGGATCTCCTTTGTCAATCCATCTATCATTTTCCCTCCTTTTCTATTTCATTGTGCTTATTTTTAATAATCCTGTTTGTTTCTCTATCTGAATTTTTCCCATTGTGCTTTATCTAATTTACTTTCTGTAGTGATTTTACATTTTCCTGAACATTTTTCCTGTCTTCTTCTAGCTCATGTTTCATTTTGCAAAATAAGATATTCAAATAACGAATAAGTACATGAAAAGTTGCTCATCACTCGTCATCAGAGAAATGCAAACTAAAAGCATAGAACAGCTACCACGAGCTTCTCAAAGATTCCATTGTCCCTCTCACCAGTGCATTTCATATTTCCTTAGTAAGGATCTTCCCAGGGAACATAATAAGATGGTGGTTCCTTGGATCTCAGAGAAGACTCTCTGAGTCTTCTGACTCCTTCCCTCAATGTCTTCCAAGGCAATGCTGGCATGTCCATCTCATTTCATGTAGTCCATCATCTTGCCCAAACTTCAGTGAGCCATCTCAGCAGCTTATTAGGACTACCTACAGGCATCCTTGCCAGGATATTAAATCTTGAGTCACGAGAATGTTCTCCAGTGTCAATTAATTCTCCCTATGTAGCCTTACATTTTGCTCCATTCCCACTCCTTCACATGCTCATTCAATAAATAGAGGAACTGAGAGTTTCTGCCAGCGTATATTAGTTGCCTATTGCTGCGCTAACAAATCACCACAACTTTAGTGGTTTAAGACAGAAATTTATTCTCTTACAGTTCCTGAGGCCAGAAGGCTGAAATGAGTCTTACAAGGCTAAAATCAAGGTATTGGCAGTTCAGTTTCATTCTGGAGGCTCCAGACAATAATACATTCCTTGCCTCTTCCAATTTCTAGTGAACGCTGGCATTTCTTGGCTCGCATGAGGTCATATCCCTCCAATCTCTACTTGCCTTTTCCTCTTCTATAGTCAAATTTCCCTCTGCCTCTCTCTTATAAATGCACTTGTGATTATTTTTAGGACCCATTCAGACAATAATACAGGATAACCTCCCCATCTCAAGATCTTTAACTTAATCAAATCTGCAAAGTTCTTTTATCCTTATAAGGTAACATTCACAGGTTCCAGGAATTAGGATGTGGATATCTTTGTGGGCCATTATTCCACCCACAGACAGATGGGACAATTCTTTGCTGCGAGTAACTTATTTTCTCTTGGATCAGAGACAGGATTTCCATTCTCAGACTATGCTAAGACCTGACTCTAGTTATTCTGGAGGCACTAAGGGATAGGTGGGAACAGTTCTTGAGGAGGGCAAGAGGAATCTTATGATGAATCTGCTTCATATGAGGTCTTTGCATGGTCGTCAGGCATAGTGAGGCTGTTCTCCTCCAGCAAGGGGGAAAGTATGCTTCTTCCAGCTAAGTGGATTCAGGGGAAACAGAAGGTTCAACATTTTCACGTCCATCCACTCAAACATTCCCATTCCTGGACTCAGGATCTCTCTCTTTCCTTATTGGATCCCTGATTTTAGCATTGGAGACCTGCCTAAGCTTCATATTCAACCTGCTTTGCAACTTTGCCAACCTTATAATTAAACCCTACACCTAATCTCCAGCACTGTTCGCCTTATGACTGCAAATAATTAATGTCTCTCTAGATGTTGCCATGGAAGTCTTTTGGCAGTCACAACATACACTGAATTGAAAATTGGCAGACCTGAACGGATCATTCTGTTTCTTCAAGTGTTCCAAGGAAGTTTAAAAAAAAAAAAAAACCCATCCTGTATTCGTACAACTCCACAATTCTTGTAACTGTCATGGCTCTCATAACATTAATGTGCCACTGCTAACACGTAACCCAGTGTTTCACCTTCCACTTGTACCTCATTCCAATCCACCACAAGTAAGTCTTAATAATTATAATGCTATTATAATATGCTAGTGTTATCATGAATCCCACTGACCCAAAGCATTGGTCAATGGTCCAGTTCAGAATTCCATCCAGAAAATCTACTTCCTGGGACCACTCCCTGTACCAGCTATCTAGGTTCCCATGAAAGAAGAGCCTGAGAGAAGATACATGTGTACTTCTATTGGGAGATGATCCCAGGAAGCAAGACTGAGGTTATGAAGACAGTGGGAAAGAGAAGGAAGAAATGTCCTGACTGAGGGGTTCATTACCAAAGTCCCTGCTACGAACAGCAGAGATCTAATTGTGCAAGAGCATACAGAATGCTTCTTAAGATTGTCTGAAGAAGGGGTGGCGGGCATCAATCCCTTGGCTTCCATCCTCCATTGTCAAGGTACCCTCTACACTTCCGAGATCCATGTGGGTCAGCCTGAGTAAGTTCCCCCATTGTTCACAGCATCAAAAGAGCCTAGAGAAGACACTACACCCTGTCAGCTAGCAATGAGTGGAAGCCTGCAGGACACTTTCCACCCTAGCCGTGGGTGAAATCAGGAGAAAGTCTGAGTAAATGTTAGCCAGAACATCTGATATGCTTGCTATCATCTATTTCAGAGAACTATTGTGAGCATTGATAGGGATTTCACACTTGTGAAGTTCTGAACACATTTACCATGTACATACAAATACTAATGAATCTTATCCGTTAGTATGGTAGTAGTAATATTGTGAAACCTCTCCTGTCAACTTAATGACTCGTTTCATTTAATCTTCTCAGCAATGCTGGTTGGTGGAGGATATGCTCATTTCACAGATGAGGACACTGAGACTCAAAGGGGTTCAGAAGCTTGTCCAAAGTCGAATAACCAGAAGAACAGGTTTGTCTATTGTGCTTTCCTACTGCACCAGGCTTCCCTGATGAGAGAAAAATTAGTACTCTCTCTCAGGAGAGGAGGTGTTGAGTGAGCAACTAAAGATGGGGATAGGAATCAGAGGACCACACTCCTCAACCTTCCCACATCCTGTGTTCATTATTCTGTGACCTTCACCAGCCTCAATCTCCAAGGGCTTGGTCTAGAAAATTACAGACAGGCAGCTTCCCAGGAGTCCTATTAGCACAGTACAGTCGTTCTACCACCACTTCCAAATCATTACTACATCCCTAAGACATAGTTGCCCACATTAACAAGGCCTGGAGGGACAAAGCACCACATTACTGAGGATTCATTATGAAACTGAGTTTGAAGATAACTACTCCTTTCCTCTCTCCTGGGGACTTCTCCTCATCCCCACGTCCAAGGAAGGCCTGGGAATTGGCTTGTTTTTGCTCAAAGGCCCTGCTTGTGGTTGACATCTGGGAAAGAAAATGCCTCTCTTAGGCAAACCATACCTAGTCCCAACTGCACTTCTAGCTTCCTAAGTGA